CCCCTGCCGCCCAATTCCATCGTAAGAAAGTCGTTCAACTTCATTTCATTGACGCGAACTTTTCTTTTAAACAGTACTTCTTCGATCGTAGTGGAAATGGTAAATTTCATTTCTTGCGTTCGTCTTAGCCTTTCTTCTGCCTTCCTCCTTTCTTCTGTCAGTACCTGAGTGAGGGCTGCGTTTAGTTTTCCCCTTGCAAGAGGAGTGACTGTATCCTTTCCGTCATAGTCCCTCCATTGTTCAATCGAAAACACACCCTCGTGATGAAGCTTAGTAATATCCTCCAATAGAATTTTCATCTCATCCAACTCTCTTTTCATCTCTTGGTACTCTGTTAAATTAAAAATAATTCTAAGAAGCTGCTGGTCTTGTACGTAAGCATCCGGCTCCTGAACAAACACCTTCATCGTCACGTTGTGGTCTTCAACGGCCGCCAAGCGGCCAACATAATTCCAAAGGAAATCGTTCAGCTTCATGTCGGTGTTCGTGTCTCCACCCAGCAGAATGTCCTCTACGCTGCTGCTCATGGTCCACTTTGGTTGCTGCGTTCCCTCCACTCTTCTGCGAGTTGCAGCGTCGGAACCATCGCCGGGGATGCCGCTTCGAGGCGCCATCACAACACCCGTGCGGTAAAGCATCCCACTCGCACCGCCCAACTGCGGCCAGCAGGTGCCGCTGGCTCCAAAGGACACTCGCGGCTGTTTAGTCCCGCAGTCCCAATGGCGTTGGGCGTGGCACTCGCATGGCGGGGCTGTCGGTGCGCCATGCAGCCGCACTGCAACGCCTGTCGGTGAAAAAGCCGAGGCCCACCGCCCCCGCAGCAACGCAACGTGCAATCGGCCACAACACCGCAACATTATTGTCCTTTTTTTTATTATTCACGTTGTCTTTTTGTTTGTCCTATCCCTAACACTAAAAACAACTGCACAGCTTCACAGAGGAAGAAATCTTCTGGGTCGCTGGCCGGATCCTGTAATTACCCAAAAAGAAAAAAGGGAAAAAAGCGGTAAATGGAGAGGTAGTGAGTTCTCCGTAATGTTTGCCCCAATGTGTCTATGTATACACATTCTGTCAATCACCGCCGTGGACTGCTGCACATATTTAGAATTAGAAACACTTATCCCCTGCGAAGTGGCAGGCCTTTGGGACTCCTCCAGCCAGAAAAAAACGCCGCAAGGTGGGGATCACAAAGTGGGTGGTTGTGAAGATAAAAAATGAAAAATAAATAAAAAAACAATAATTTCGTCTGGCAGCTGTCGGCTCCCTGACTCCCTCAATCGCGGTCTCCCAGAAGACCGTGCGATAGAAAAGAAAAAAGCTGTGAAGAGATATCTTCGTTTGTGCGAGATATGAATTTATTTGGGCAGCCAGCCGTCCTCACAAGCATTCTTTTCACAAAATCC